GGTAATTTTTAAAAGTAGTAAATGTTTGTATCTTTCGAGACTCGTCCGGTAAAGCGTTCCATAATTTTGATGCAGCATATCTCCATATCTCCATATCTCCAACTGAGCTTGTGCTGACTTCCTCAGCATGAAGCAACCGGGGTCCATTTGTTTAAAGGGCAGATAATACTATCCAACTAATATAATAAATCACTATTCAGTGGATAAGTGTTACCAAAACATTCTGCACTAGCCACCTTATATAGATTTATCTGTTGGATAGTGTTATGCAATCTTCAAACAATTGCATCCTTAAGTCTTTCCTGGAGGAAGTGAAGTAAGTCTGTCACCAGTTACACCTCAGCTATTTTCCCTTAAGTTTCCCTTAAAGTTTGCTGAATGAAGAGAGAGGCACTGGATGAGTAAATTGTCTTGCTCAAGATTCATTGAAAATTGAAGTACATGATTTTTAGTCACTATAATATCTAAAAACCAACATGAAGCTAATACTAGAGTAAACTAGACCAAAACACTGATCTGTTCCCAGCTTTTGTTGTACCCTTTTTGCCCTTGAAGATGAAAATATAAATTCCTTACAGTTTCTTCCTTGGAACAATTATCATTCTAGTGGGGGGAATTTGGTACTTGATCAAACATTATCTCCAAGTTAACATTTCTCTTTGCTCAGCTCCATTTTGCTTAAAATTTTATTGATATAATTGAACAGATGTAGTTCTGGGAGAAACTTCTTTTTCTTCATGAGGGGGAGTTTACAGGTCTGAGACATTATTTTTGAGAAAATTCCTTCCTAATGGGTCGATATGAGATTATGATTGACTTGCTATTTTTGTTGTGGCTGTGATATTCATGTAACATTAAGGGCCTGATGTTGTATGCAGTTAAAGGTCAATGCTAGAAACCCTCAGGAAGTCATGTATACAAGCTAAATAGTGGATTATTTTAGACTAGTTTAGAATTTCTTATGTAAAGGAAATGTTTTTAGCAGGGTTTGGCTAGTGTGTTGTGTTTTTACCTACTTTTTATTTTTCTGTGATTAAATCAGCATCCTGTCTAGGAAGTAAGAATCTCAGTTTTTTCATGCTTAAAAAAAAAAAAGGGATAAGCCCCGGTGGGGTGAGGCACTAAACCTGTATGCTGTTTATTTTTCTTTGATTTAAAAAAATTGGAACACTCCTCCATCATCTATTATAGGAATAGGATAAAATTTTTTAGAGTAGAATATTAACAACATCGTTCCTATATCTTGTTTCATAGATCTACCAAATGGAAAGTATCACAACTGGACATCACAAGCCAAGCAACAAAGCTGAGGATACTTCAAAGATCAACAACATGGGACTCATCATGGTAAAGGAACCCTGATGACTGGCACTGGAAGCAAGTACAAGATTATTTATCATTTCCATCAATGCTAGATTTAATTTGGGCCCAGCCCGTGAGGTCATTGAATGGGGGTGCAGCTGGCCCGGGGTTTTCCTCCTAGGAGCAAGTGGACGTACAGGGAGGTTTTTCACCCAGCTGTTGTTCCACCACCCCCATTCATTAAGCTCTTTCTTTTTTTGTAGTTCATAATAATGGGAATGTGTGTGTGCCACAGTTGTTCAAACAAGTGCTTCTGGGGTCTCAGGTTCCAGGGCTTAAGTTTTTGGGTCTCAGTTTTTACTGATTTTTGGTCCTAGTCAGCTGAGATTTCTGGGTCAAGGAATTTTTGGGTCCTGGGTTTTTTTTTTTTTTTGGTAAGTCTTTTGGGTCTTTGTTTATTATAGGTTCAGGTGAATGGGCTTAGGCTTTTGGGTTGTAGGTTTTCATTGAATGTCTGCTCTCAGAGCTTGGGTTTCTGGGTCATAGGATTTCAGGTCCTGGGTTTTTCAGGTCATGGTAAGTTTTTTGGTTCTTAGGTTTCTTTGGGTTCAGGCTTAATGGGCTTAGGTTTATGGGTCTTGCCTTTTTTTCAATCTCTCTAATCTTTTAGCTTAGGTCTCTCTGGGTCATGGGATATTTGGGTCCCGGATTTTTGGGGTGGTGGGACTTTTTGGGTCTAAGATTTCTTTGGGTTCAGGTTTAATGCGCTTAGGTTAAAAATATCAAGACATATCAAGAAGAAAAGTGATGAGAATAAAGCAAAATATAATCTAGGGGACTTTAAGTTGATCCAATACTAAATTCTCCCAATAAATATCAAAAGATTGTATGACAGACAGTAAGAAGAATTACTTATTATATCTTGGGATTGAAAGGGTTAAAGGGTTAAAGCTCCAAACTTTAAGGATCAATTTTCTGCTTTTTGTTTCTCCTCTCACCTTGTACTTGAGAATTATATACATAAATTATTAAAGAGATATTCTTGCTGTATCAATTGTAATCTAAGTCAATCTTCTCCATCCTTAATCATCAAGGCTCTTGATTCATCTATCCTTTAATCTTAGGTATTTTCGTCTCTTTCCATGTTTATATTTTGTGGTTTTCTATAATATGACATTTCTTTGGCACAAAGCGGAGTAGTATTTTGATGAAGTACTTGGAAAACCTGATTTTTTAAACCCTTTTTTCAACACCTTAAAAATGATCTCTTGTGGGTTTATTATCTTATTATTTATTCATTTACTTTTATTTTAAATCTCTTTATTTATTTTTGCCAGCAGCAACCTGAAATGTGGCTTCCACTTGGTGCGATATTCATTCGAAACAGTAAACCTCGTGCACGTGGTGTAAATAATATTTTGAATATCGCGCTGAATAAATTACGAAACCTTCCGCAAGCCCTGACCAATATTTCTCCTTGATAAAGCCTCATATACCAACTAACAAAACAAATCATTATGTTACATCCAGTATTGTTAAAATTATGCTTACCTCTGGCAAATGTCATGTTTACCCAATTTTTCTTTCCGCGGTACTAAGCTTGATCACTAAGTAGTGTGAAAGCTTGTTTATCGTGATCTTCTTTACTCTGTTTTGCAGCCACTCCTGGGATGAACCTTATGTTCAGACGACCCCAATCTAGAAAAAAACAGTTCCTAAACGCCAGCCGCGTGGATAATCCGCATTTAGTTGAAAACAAGCTTGAATTTCCTCAAGACAGTCGACGCTCCAGCTATCAACTTCAGAAGGCTTCCATGTTGAATTGTTATTAATCCCAGTTCCCTCGCACCAACGAAAACACGCAAGTCGCGGATCACGCACGAAAATAGCGATTCCACGACAGTTTTCAAGCGTGTTTATGAATCTATGCGTGTAGTTTCTATGGAGCGTAAGTGTATCCTTTAAAGTAATCATCAGCCGGAGAAATTTTTCAGCTTACGGCTCTTAAAAATGACGTGATGTTTACTGGAGAATTAATGTTGCTCCACTCCAATAAAACTATGCATTCGACTATTATGCAATAAACCTTGAAATAGAACTACATGAAGAAGTGGCGTGTTTATATGACGGTGCGCATCTTTTAAGGCCGAGTAGGTGTGGCACTGTTAACATGACCATAGTCTCAGGCAACGATTCGAAGTCGGTTTACTACAATGCATAACGCACATACAACTGCCACAAGTCTCTCACAGATACCTCCCCTTCTCCGTGATCATCACAAAAGAGAGAATTTGAAAGCGATGCCGTAATCCTCGTCTTGGACCATACTGGCACGTTCACGTTCAATCTCCCTTTTCCGGTGTCAGCTTTTCAGTAGTGATTTCTCTCAAAAATTTTAAAAATTTTTTTCGATACTTACCATACAATTATCGTTTCCTAATTTCTAGACTCGCCTTAGGTATTACGACAAAGAACTTTGAAATCTAATGTCTAAATACTCTATCCCCCAATCTTCACCCTCATTTAAGGTTTTTTTGAGGTGTTTTTGTAATATTGATTTAAGTTTTCTCGTAAGCTCGCCTATCGTTTTAGACGTATAAATGATCACTCACTAACCTCTCAATAAAACTATAGGAATATCGAAATTCTTGATCAATTAGAGTGAAGATTCTTTTAAGCCTGAGCGATTTCAAGTTGAAGTAAGTACCTAATCCGAACGTTCTGAGAAGTTTGGCAGTACGCCTTGAAATCCCCATGTCATTTTCAATATGACGGATCAAATTGATGACACTTTCATTCCTCCAGAACGATGAGAAAAAAGTTTGTAATTATTTAGAACAAAGAATCTCATCAAAGCAGGAATAAATCACCTTTTTCGGTTCTTTACTTGAGCCATTTCTTGTAATATGTGACCATTAAAACGACATTTATTTAGTGCCATTTTCATGACGTGAATTAACTTTTTTCGATGCATTCTCTGAGTAATTACTCTATGGTTGCCCCAAAGACATCTTACGTTCCCCGTTCTCAGTTTCTAGGTCGTTCTCAGTTCTCCGCGCCTCGCCCCTGTGCACACACCCTTGGTGTGATTCCTCGTGCTTCTCTTCCAATTGCAAGGAGTCTCCTTGTGACCCCACCCCATTCCAAACCCCCTAAACTAAGTATATCCTCGCCATTACTTTTTCTCGTCTTCATTTTTGCGCGCATTCCATGTGTTTTCTCTACCTCCTCAATCTTCTCATGCATTCCTTTTCTCTTTTTTCTCCCTGGTTCATGACTGGAAACGTAGACAGAGATATAAGGGAACAGAAGTAAAAGACGTAAATTTCAGACTCTGAAAGAAACTCTCCATCTCCATCCCCCCCCCCCGTTCTACTTCAGCAGCCCCTACCCCCTCCCTCCAACTACCCACACCCCTCCCCTGAACCCAAACAAGTCACCCAGGCTTTCTTTGTTTTCAAAATGATCGCATATTGTGCTGCCGCCATCACGACAACAGAAAAACAAAGGAGAAACGAGTTTTACTACTCAAACTCTAGGGCTGAGGCAAGGAAAGTGAGATGGGATTTCGTCAGCGGGTCTGCGTATAAAATGTTGAGACGAACTGAGAGTGTTTGGTGAGTCATCAGCACAAGTTAGGTCCCAGTTCGCTTTGGTTATCCTGACCCAGATACAAAATAAAAATCTTAGGTACAAACTCAATATAAATCATAAATCATGTTTCGAATTTCCACAAAAGTTACAACAATAACATCGACAACATTAGGTTCCATTAAAATCAATATATGAGTGATTCTTTCGGTCAAAATATTGTCATAACAGAAAAGGAAAGTTTTAATTTTGTCCTTGTTAAATGTAGGAAAGAATACTACTTAAGTTCTTTTATTTTTTCTTCTAAGTCCTTTTCGTTTGATCCACTGAATGAATGTAACTGGAATAAAAAGAAAAACAAAGCAAATAGTTTCAGTCAACTTTTTACACCCTAATATCAGCATTTTTATTCTCCATACTGTTCTCTATACATTTCTTATGGAATTGGCAAGGAGAATTTAGATGAAAATCAAGAGCTTTTCAAATTTGAGATCATATGCTTAATTCTCACGAGCCTAATGTTTTATTCAGGAGTGATACCGTAGTGAGAAACGAGATACTTGTCGCCCTCAGGGTAAGAGGGTTAAAGACATTATCGTTCGAAAAACACATGCCTGTGTTTTAGAAGGTAAAACAGCACAGCGGAAAAAATAAATGTGCATGCGCGGCCAGTGTCGGCCTACTTGAATAGTGAGACTTTTCAGACGGCAGTCATTTTGCGCAATGATTGCCTCTGTTTACGCGAGCTGAGCATGCCCACTTATTTTGTCATTTGTATTAAAACTCGTGTAAGTTCTTCTTTAAGTGCCTTGTTTCGATTACCTTGTTTCCATTCTTGTAAAAAACAAAAGTAGGCATGACTTCTACGTTTTCCGCCTCGGCTATGGCCTACAAAGACAAAACAATACACATCTAACGCATAATGACCTGCCCTTTGTCCCCATCCAAGGCTATCATGACATATTGATGTCATTTACCAACAGAAAAATAGAGACAGCAACAACATCTTAAAGAATGCTGTTTATCTTTTTATCAAGATCACAGAACAAAGGAAAACATCTGATTCTCTCACGAGGAATGGAACATCAAAACTTCGGACTTTGCGCTCCGATACTCTACCACTGAGCTAAAGAAACGTGTTGTCAGGTGTTATCACGTGTCGTCATGTGTTATCACGTGTCGTCATGTGTAATCTTGACTATAAATGTCATCTTAGTCACATCGTCACTGTTTGCTAATATCAACTATCATTAAAGTAAACTTTTTCTTTTATTCACTGTTTGTGTCTTTCTGTTTAATAGTTGTTCACTTACTTCAGCTTCGTCAACATCAATTTTTGCGAAGACTACATCAGTAAACTTGGCAGCGAGTTTCTGTTAAAAGAAAATCCAAATTTTTTTACACCAATCTTTTGGGCGCAAATTTCCGCCCTCACACATATACACAGATGTTTTATTCAAGATAACTGAAGTAGAAATGTTTATTTGGAGCAACTACATCTGTCAATATCTCATTAATACAGTCACAAACCGAAGAATGACGAAACCACGATAAAAAAAAAAAAGTGGGGTAAGGGGATGGGGCTGGGGACTTAAATGTCACCGTTATATTAGAATTCAGAAGAAAATCAAGATACCTTTCGTTCCAAATTTTTATACCAGAGGAGAGGGGTACGGTTCACATGTATCTTAAACCCCACCCCCCTCCCCCCCGTGCTCTTCTAACGTCCGTTCTTTATCTCATCACTTACCCTAAAGGCAGGTTTGATTTTTCTGCACGGACCACACCAATCCGCATAAAAGTCGATCACTATCAGCTTATCTTTGTTATCTGGACTTTTTAGGAATTGTTCATACTCGTCCTATTCAAAGAAGAAAAAAAAAACAAAATAAATGATTTGTACATGAACTAAATATTAGCGTGATTAGTTGGTGAATTTTTCTTCAAGTTATCACTGCATAGGCGCACAACGAGATATGGGAAGAAAATACTTTCCCGCCATCTCCTTCGTTGCGTATCAATCAGACTCATTCCCGTCTCACTCGTACTCTTCCATAGACAAATGAAAGATGACTGGGGACGAGTCCGACATCCTTCGTACATTTAAATCGCCAAAAGTCACGGAAAACATTTCACTAATCTCGTTCGCGTGCACACGAATCATGTTAAAATACTCAGTACATTGTAAATAAATTCAAGTTTGGATACGACATGTTAGCATTTAGCATTTAAGCAGGAAATTTATCATATATACAGACGTGATGTGATGAGAACTCATGATGTGGCTGACATTTTAATTATGCATAAAAATATAAAAATTTGACCTAGATACATAACATTTACATTGAAAGTTCGTTTCAAATGAAAAACACGTCATTTTCATCAAAATGAAAACTCGTTTAAACTTCAATTTATCGATGTTTTGACTCAATGATAATAAATAAAATAGGCGAGAACAAGGAATAGAATCGAAAGTTAACAATGCAAATTTGGTTTCCAAATCGCTCACGAAAGTCTGAAATCCGCGGCTCTTTTAAATTTCAGCTTTTTCCCCCTCATGAATGCGAACTTGAGAATCAAAAACCTCTCCGTTGTCTAGACTCATAGTCCATCGTTTGGTGTGAAGTGTTCAAATAGACGGCTTATTACCCAATATTGAGTCAACAGCTGAATTCCCATAAATAACCGAGATTTAAGTTATTTATCTGTCGTATTTTAGTTATTACTAATGAAAAACACAACTCACCTTATTGGTGAACTCCATTTCTTCGTAATATTTGCTGAAAAGTTATGATATTTTGTTGTTAACCTTTTAGAAAAGTGACAGTCTTGAAGGGAAACAAAATTGGCGTGTTGTTTGTCGAATGCGGAACAGGCGGTGCATGAACAAACATAAAAGATTACCATATGATTTAAAGGTAACTACGTCACTGTCTGTGAATATTGAAGAACCGTTCTCAAGTTTGTGGTTTGCAATCTTTTCAAATTTCTCCCTTCTTGATCTGTTTTAGATCATTATTATTCCTTTCGGGTCATTTTACCATTTGAAACTATACCAATTTTTTTATTTTGACTAAACTTGAAGAAAAATCAGTTCGTTTTTAACCCTTTCACTCCCGATCTCACAAGTAATTCTCCGTACTGTCTGCCGTACAATTCTTGGGATGTTAGTTGGGAGATTTTGGTATTGGATCAACTAATGATCCCGCCAACTATCAAAGTCTCTTTAAATGTTTATTTATTAGGATTAAAAATAACCTCACTAAGCAACTGTAGATATTACCATTGATAACTATTATGACGTTTTCATCTGCTTTCATCATTTCATTGATTAACAGGAAAGGTCTTCTTAATTGCATGTTAGAGACATTTAAGTTTGACTACATGAATTCCAAACTAAAGTAATCACAACGGCCAGTCAGGTCAAAGGTTAATGTCAGAAGGAACCAATCACTACTCAAAATAAAAACAAGCAAATTGCTTGAAGCGCGGGAAAACGCAGGTGAACTAGTCGCGACTGTTTTTAGCTCCGCATGTGATTGGTTTAGAGGATGATGTGAG